TCCATTCGTCTATTGAAGGGCATCTAGGTTGGTTCCACAGTCTTGCTATTGTGAATTGTGCTGCTATGAACATCGATGTAGCAGTGTCCCTATAGCATGCTCTTTTTAGGTCTTTAGGGAATAGACCGAGAAGGGGAATAGCTGGGTCAAATGGTGGTTCCATTCCCAGCTTTTCAAGAAATCTCCATACTGCTTTCCAAATTGGCTGCACCAATTTGCAGTCCCACCAGCAATGTACAAGTGTACCCTTTTCCCCACATCCTTGCCAGCACTTGTTGTTGTTTGACTTCATAATGGCTGCCAATCTTACTGGAGTGAGATGGTATCTTAGGGTGGTTTTGATTTGCATTTCTCTGACTGCTAGAGATGGTGAGCATTTTTTCATGTACTTGTTGATTGATTGTATGTCCTCCTCTGAGAAGTGTCTGTTCAGGTCCTTGGCCCATTTGTTGATTGGGTTATTTGTTATCTTATTGTCTAATTTTTTGAGTTCTTTGTATACTCTGGATATTAGGGCTCTATCTGAAGTGTGAGGAGTAAAAATTTGTTCCCATGATGTAGGCTCCCTATATACCTCTCTTATTGTTTCTCTTGCTGAGAAAAAAACTTTTCAGTTTAAGTAAGTCCCATTTGTTGATTCTTTATTTGCTATCATTTGAACCAAAGCAAAGCACATGACTGAACCCAGAATCATAATGAGAGGAGACTACAAAATGCTGGGCAAAAATAACCCATTAATTTGGACTATAAATGAAACTTATCTACCCCATATAGCTAATAAGTTGAATAAATAAGTTTCAAGATCAAATCTCTTTCAACACAGAGTTCATTTTCTTTACTATAACAGAACAACACAGGTAATTCATAAAAAAGTTGAGCTATATCATGCCTCAGTATGTATCCAAAAGAATTAAAGTCATACTATAGTATTCCATACTATAGCAATATATGCATACCTGTGTTTATAGAAGAACAATTCCAATAGCCAAATTGTGGAAACAACCTAGGTGTCCATCAATAGGTAAATAGATAAAGAAAATATGTATGTATACACAATGGATTTCTAGTCAGCCATAAAAAAGAACAAAATTATGTCATTTGAAGGAAAATGGATGGAACTTGAGAGCATCATGTTAAAAAAAATAAGCTAGACCCAGAAAGTCAAGGGTTATATATTTTCTCTCATATGTAGTAACCAGAGGGATAAAAGTGGGAAAAAGGGGTATGCAGGGGGGTTGGTCTTGTAGAATATTGAAGGGAGACCTGTAGAGTAGAAGAAGCAGTGGGAAGGACAGGTACTGGGAAAGGAGAGGTAATGGGGAATGAAATGAAAATATAATATTATATGTATGTATGGATATGTAACAATGGGGTCCACTATTAAGTATAATTATAATAATGTACCAATAAAACAGGAAATTTATTTCTCACAGTTCTAGCAGCTAGAAAGTCCAATATCAAGGTATCTATATCTGGAAAGAGCCTTCTTCTTTTGTCATCCCATGGCAGAAAGGAAAAGAGAGAATAAGATTTCAAGAGAATGAACTTACAGCCTGAATCCCTTTTATAATCAGTATTAGTCTATTTGTGACAGCAGAGTTCTCATGGCCTAATCACTATTCAAACCATGGTAGTTTCTGTCTCCAGATCCTGGCTGCTTATTTTCTTTCCTTCATAGTTCCTCTTTTATCTGTCCCCTTAAGTGCTGGCACTTTTGCCCCCCTCCCCCAGGATTTTGTTCTTGATTTATTTCTCTTCTGACTACATAGTCTCTCTGGAAGATTCTGTAGAGGGCCAAAGCAACTATCTCCATCTTTTTGTTCATTCCTGCACATAAAACCTACATTTCTTCTTATAAGTTCCCATCTTGATAAGAGAGCATCTACCTGGAAGTGATCCTACATAACATATGTTATCCTCCATAACCAAGGTATTAACATTTTGGGCCAGATTGCTAAGAGCCATAGCCAAGTAGGAATGATGCATGGCATTTTTGGTTGAAAGGTGACGCCAGCAAGCCATTGAGATGATAATAATTATATTAAGATGTGCATTCAATTGGAGATTAGACCCCTGCTGTCCGCCTGGGCCTGCTTGGGCCTGCTATTTTGGAGCTCTCCTGGGACTCCCGGAGAGTTCCCATTGGTTGGGGAATTCCGGAGGAGGGATTTCCTGTTGATGTAGTGTGTCCCCGGAGAAGGCCGTGCGTGCATGGCATTTGGAGTTTTGGAAATAAAGTTTGTTCTTGCTTGAGTGGCTCGCGATTTTGTGCCCAGCCAGACTGTGGCACCAGATATTCTCTGTTGTGGAACCTATGCTGTGCATTGTAGGATCTTTTGCAAAATCCCTAACTCCATTTACTAGATGCCAGTAGAATATCCCTTCCCTGTGTTGTATCAAGGTCCAAAATCTCCAGATACTGCTAAATATTCCTTGGGGAAGTGGACAATTGCATCTGGTTAAGAGCTACTCTATGTCATCATCCACTCCTGTAGATTTAACATTTGTAGCATTTGTTCCTTCTTGTCATTCTTCTTACAACTCATTCAATTAAATTCCACATGGCTTTGTGTCAACATTCTCCAACTGCCTCCTATCTGGCTGTGGAAGACAAGCTAACTAACACAATAATCCATATTGATTCAAATCTTCCTTGCTTCCTTCCAAAAAAAAAAAAAAAGAAAGAAAGAAAAGAAAAAAAAAGAAATACTTGTTTTTCAGCCTCAGTTGCATGTAGGAATAGCCAGGTGACACAATTCAGCATGACAGTCAAACTGTAGAGTCATTCATCTTGTGTTGCAACTCCGTCTCATCACTCTGATAGTTGTGTAGCATTAGCAAAGTTACTTAAATTCTCTGTGCCACACCACTGAGACTGGGAATAATAATAGTACCAACCTTATAGTACTATTGTGAAGATAAATGAGTTAATATGTACAAAGCGTCTAGTACTATGGGTGGATGCAAACACTGGGTAAAAATGGTGGCTATGATATAAAGATGATGATGATCATGTAGTCTTTTTTTTCTCTGCTCATCTCAAATGTCATTATTTCACATCCTATCCCCCATGACTACAATATTCACCTTTTGACTCAGTTCAGGTTAGACTTCCTCTAGAAAATTTTCCTCCCACCTATTCCTTTTTACATTTGAAGGCCTTTCTCAGATCTTACTTGATTTCCTCCTGCTCCTAGGCTATGAATTCCTACAAGGCAAGGGCCAGATCTTTCTCTCTAGGACCGCTACAAGTGTTCATACATATTAAATGTTCAGTAAAAGTCTGTGGACTAAATTAAGGAGTGAATGAATATTGGTAGCATAGAACAATCTTGCAATTCACTGCATTCCCTTTACGATCAGATGATAAAACTATCAGATTAAAAAACAATTCCAATTTTACTAACTTAGCAATCTATGGTCATTTTTGGAAAAGGTGGGCTTTTAAACAAAACTTGAGACAAAGCTAGTGTAAATTGAAATAAAATCAACCAATTCACACACACACACACACACACACACACACACGAAATAAATAAAAGAAAGAAAAAGAAAATAATAATTTTTTAAAGGAAACCTATTTCATTATCAGTAGCCTGGCAACTCCAGTTAAGCTTTTAAGTAAACTGAAGTCAGAGACCAAATTATTTTTAGGGTAAAGAGCAAAACTATACATGTGACTTCTAACTTTGCAAACATCCTTACACAACATTATTCTAAATAAGTTTATCTAAATTTGGGCAGAAGAGTGGCAATTCTAAGTGTTAACCGACAAAAAAGTCACAGTTTTAACACTCCATTGATGTACTTTCCAAAATGAGAAAATTTTAAAGTTGCATTTTAATTAAAAGCCTCTTACACACACACACACACACACACACACACTTTTCATCAGTTGTCTCCACTTAGCAAACTGTTAATAAATTAAAAATACTTAAATTTTCAGGAAACGAAGGGAGCAACTATAATCTTGAATAATGCAGTGTTTTCATCCCCATCTCTTTGCAGAACAGTACCCAACCACAAATGGCTAAGAAGCTTTTCTTCCTTGGGATTAGACTTAACCATCTATCATTTGGCATAACCAACTCTGACAAGTGATTGATCTTCTCTAGATAAAAATTTATTAGATCATCTCTTTTAGGGCAAAGGAACTGTAGGCAGCTTTCTCCAAAATCCTTAAAACAAATCTTAAAATGAACTACTAAAACTAAGCAATTTCTCAAAAGATCCCCCAAGAAAAGTATATTTCCTTTCCCCTTACAAAACAAGGGCCTCATATAACACACAAACAACGCACTCTTTAAAAGGTAATTTTCAGTGGTACAACCACAAGTCTCAATCCAATGTTCCACTTTCCCTGATGACAATAGCCCTTCAGTGACTCCTGTTTATGTCTTCTAGATGCCCATTGGTGTCTGAGGTGACAACCAACACAGGGATGCCAAGGGTCATCAGGTGGTTGGTGGAGCGCCCGCATGTCTCTCAGAGCGCTCCATGAGGTGTCCATGGGACCTCGCGCCCAGGGCAGCCGGGCTCCAGCGATAGGGCCACGATTTAGCCTGTCGTCGGGAGGAGGCTAGCGCCCCCGATTCACGTCGCCTCCATGCCCACCTCCTCCTGCAAGAGTCCCCTCCCATTGCCACTGCACGGACTCTCGGGTTGCCCTTATTGTTGTCCGCGTCTGTCACTTTGTGGGCCTTGTGACATGAATGGATGGGCTGGACACACCTTCTGTCCTTCTAGAAAAAAAGAAAAAAAAAAAAAAACCGTCCCGATCTGTATACATCCCCCACCCCACCCCCGGCGCTCCCAGAGTTTAGGCGGCCGGTCAGGGGGACGCACCGCTTCCCCCTCCCACCCTCACTCCTCCCATCCCTTAAAAAAAGAAACGACCAACGCAAATAAATAATACCGTTCCAAGCCTGCAGCGTCCTCGGTGCCCTCTCCTCCCGGTTGGGCTCAGCGCACTCCAGCCCGGGGGAGGCGGCGGCGAGAAGCGGTGGCCGGGTCCGGCGCGGGGCGCGGGCTAGAGGCGGGTGCAACTGGCCCGCGGGCGCCGCACTATGCTCCCCAGCGCCGTGGCAGCTGGCGCGTACTGGGACGTGGTGGCTTCCTCCGCGCTCCTCAACCTTCCGGCAGCACCGGGCTTTGGCAACCTGGGCAAGAGTTTCCTGATCGAGAACTTGCTGCGGGTCGGAGGCTCCCCGGCCCACGGGCTGCAGCCACCCCCACCCCACGGCCCGGCGGCCTCCCTAGTCACAGCTGCGGGCGCGCAGCTCCGGCCCCTGCCCGCCAGCCCCGTTCCCCTCAAGCTGTGCCCAACAGCCGAGCAAGTCGGCCCCGCCGGGGCACCCTACGGCACGCGGTGGGCATTTCAAGTGCTCAGCCCCTCGGCGGACGGCGCGAGGCTGCCGGGCCGGGCTCCGGAGGACCGAGACTGTGCTTTCCAGCCTTCTGCCCCAGGTGAGCCAGCTCTTCCTTTCTCAGCCGCGCCGATGCCCAGGCGGGCGCCCCACTGGGCTCGCCAGCATTGCGCACTGCACCAAGGGAGTGCCAGCCTGGGACCTTCCTGGAGCATGTCGAGATTTAGTGGAGATGCCACTTGGGGAGTAAGAGGGAACCACCACTTTTTGTGATGATTATTATTATTATTTTGCCCCATCTCAGCCCATAGTTTCTGTCCTGTCTCCTTCTTTGGACAGGTGGTAGGGCTACTTTGACTTTGGGGCTTTAACGGGAAAACCCTGAAGGCACCTCCAACCGGAAAGGGCATCTCAGTTCCGAGATGCCTGTGAGGCTGGACCAGTTTCATGGGGTTTCCCAAGTACAGCGTTTTTAGTCTGCCCGCTCCTGTCCCGAAGGCCGCCCTCCGGAAAGTTCTTGGCAAGGAGAGCTCCAGAGGCCCGCTTTGCGGGCTGTTGCCATCCACCGCTGCGACGGTCTGGGTAGTTCAGGAACGCTTGCGAAGGTCTTTGGAAGAAGACTTGAGCAAAGTTTTGGCTCTCTTTCCTCTTTAACATTTTGGAACGTTCTAGGCACAAAGAAATCAAGGCCGACTTTTTTCTTCGCGCTGAGCTGAAAAACAGCTGAATTGGCAACTGGAGTAGGAAGTTCACCAATAAATGGGAATTTACCAAGAGAAGGACAGTGTGGGTTTACATTAGTTACCATATAAAAGCTAGCTTTATACCGTGTTATTTATTTGCGTTGAATTGGGACGAAGGATGCAGACTGTTGAGTCAAACATTAGGTAAAGTTTATAGGGAGGCTGCCTAAATTATCGATGATAAAAGGATATGTTTCTTAGAGACTTGGAAACTGAGAACCAATTGGATTAATTTTTGGCTGCGTCCTTAGACGATCTTAACTCATTCTTTTAATCCCAGTGGGTTTGTTCGGAATGACTAATAGACGCTTTTTCAGCAGTTTCCATTGTCCCAGCAAACTGCCGGATCAAATTTATTACTAATGGCTTTATAGAATTTAACATGTTTAGAACCTGTCCTAGTCTTTCAGCTTGAAATGGTCACTAACAGAATGGAACAAATATAATTATATGAACACAGGTCTCATTCACATAGTGTAAAACCTAAATGCATTTAGGAACAGGAACAGATAAAGTTAAGGCAAGGCTTATGTGCCTTGTAAGTGTGGAGCACTTTGCTTTTGAAATATGAGGAAAATTAGAAACATGTAAAGCAGGGTTACATAAACAAAGAATTAGTAAGTAATCTCAAAAATTGTCAAGAAACTTTGTTGATTTGAATAACTTGATGGATTGGTATTGTGTTTGTAGAAATTATTTTTCAAGAATTCTTAAATTGTTAGTGATTGGCTTTTCAACCATGAAAAATTACATAATTTAAACTGTGAGGATTTTACCAATTAAATAAACCAAATGCACATCAAATTCAGATTGTCCAATAACCATTAAAATTATTTCATGTGTGTATCCATTTCTTTTAAAATATCACAATGGGTGGGCAAAGGATTTCCTAACTATGTTGTTTTTATTTTCAGGAGCATATTCATTCTTGTGCACATATTAAAGTATAAAAACTCAAAAATTATTTTTTGGAATAAATAAGAGGGTACAAGAATATATATTTCCTTTTAAATGAAAGATTAAGCGTATGTATTATCAAATGTTTTGGTCAACCCTCATGAAGACTTGATGTGTTCCTAGTTTAGTTTTCACTTGAACAAACAACCTTTTGTTTCAAAGGGCATTTTTGTAAAGAATGCATCTAATTTTTGAAAGTGGGAAAATATCTAAAGAAGGAAAAAGCCCCATAAGTTTGTGCTATTTAAAACCAGATTTTACATTTATTTTTATAATTTAACAAATGATATAATTTTCTGAACATTGTCCTAGTTTTATCTAAGTGACAGATTCTTGTCTTACTAAATGTCATAGAAATTCTTTATGTAGTGTAAATTATGAAGTTATAATGAGTGCCAATGATTTTAGCTGTTACCTAGAAATTAGGTGAGTATGAACTAGTGATTGATGTTCTGTAGAGAGCATAAAAGAGCTATTGTTTTCAGAAAGAAAACAATATCAGTGAACAATTAGTACTAATCTTTTAGACACTAACTTGGGGTAAAATTATAAAATATGATTTTAATAATTTGTACATATTGAAAATCCACTTTATTTCAAACTTAATTTGTTGATTGCATCTGTCTAGATGTTGAATAAGGACATGCAGAGTTATTTTTAAGTGCATTAATGAAATATAGCATTATTTAAAATTTAAGGGATTTATGCCACCATGTGTATTTTTGCTTCATAATTTTGATTACCTACTACTAATTATACTATATATTTAATTTAGCAAATGCTTACTGAGGGTATCTCATGTATAACTTCTGTTTTAGAATCTTGGCATAATAATGGAACAAAAGAAATAACTACCTCTGTGGGGGCTTACATTCCATGTTCTATAGTGTTCTATAGGTTACCAATCAATCATTCATTAGCTTTTTTAAACTTCATAATGGGCCAATAAGTTAGCTGTTGGGATTCATCTCTTTCTACAATGAAAAATATTGTTTCACTTACTAATTTTATTTCCATCCCAAATATTACTTGAAATATCTGTGGTGTTGTGAAGCAGAAAAAGTTTTTTTTTCCTCCAAATCTTCAAATTGGCACTTTAGTTTGCCTTCATTGACTATGATAACCTGAAAAGGAATGGGACAACTAGTTGTATTCCAGTCACCCTAATAAATCAGATTATGATTTTATATCTCAGCTTATAAGGAAAGAAATTGACTTTCTTGTCATAAGACATATCTGAAAGGTGGGGACAGGTGAGTGGTAACCCAGCTTTACAGGTCATGGATGAAAGTATAGCTGTCAGTGCTTCATCCTGGAAAACTGGCAGGTTTGAATATTTAGAGCAAGAAAAGGAACACTCCAAATTATGTATTGTTCAATTGTTTATATAGAATAATTTAAACACATTTCTTTATAATCAAAGAATATCCTGGAAGGTTTGAGAGGGGCACATTTAGTGCAGTAGTGTGTAATGAATAGATTCACCTCCACTTTTTTTATCTGAGAAAAAAAAAAGTCTCAGACCTGTTATAGTTTATTAGTGGAAATTTGGAGGCTTTCTGAGTAAAATCCTCATGGTCAAAGATCTTCCCTCCAAAGTTCGCTAATGTCAGTATTTGGAAAGTGTTGTTATAGATTTAAATACCCATATGCTTATGTATAAAAGAAGGATTTGGAATGCAAAAAGCTAAATATTTTTAATTTATCTTGGTTATGAGAATGCCATGAATTTTCAAATTGATGGTAATGACATTGATATTCTTCAAAATAAATAGAACAAATAGTTTTGCTTTTTAGTAACATTTGTTATTTAAAACATTTTAGAAATAATTGACAAAACCTATTTTGTATTAAATCTTGTGCTGCATATAAAATGATTGGAAAGACAATGTTCATTCTGGATAAGTAAGTTTGTTATTTTTTGTTAAAAAGTAATTTTGCCAAGTGAGTGGTACTCTATAGGACAGAAATGGAAGATCCTTAGTATTTTTTGTTGTCATTCAGCTAGGGTTGTTTACCTATTATGCCTTTGATTTTGTCTGAAATTACATACACTTATGTTTTGTGTTCAAAATGGTACTTTATTCCTCCTTTGTTGAGATACACTGAAAATAGGAAGTGATATAGACTGTCATACATTTTAGGCAGTTGGGATATGGATAAAGGATGAATCTGCATAATCCGCTTGAATCAAATGTATGAAATATGATATGTCAAGAGCTTTGTAATGTTTTGAACAACTAATAAAAAAAAGAAAAAAGAAAGAAAAAAAAAGGATGAATCTGTTCAAAGCGAGGATTCCAGTCTAACTGAAGACTTTGTGATCTAATTTAATTCAGTTTGTCATTTTTGTTGCCAAACTAAGCTCTAGATTTGTTTTGGAAAAATGAAATATTGCAATCTTAAATGTTAATGCTGACCCAGAATCAAGATGAGAGTGTCGACCCAGAACAGAACAATGATGGTACCCATGCTAGCAGTTTTTTACTCTGGCCATTAGCCCAGCAATCCTTTGGTAGAATTTATAGATAATATCAGAACCATATTTTGCTCTATCTGTATATATTTTTATTCTGCTTAATATATCTTTGTAGGTAACTTATATCAATACCTTTTACATAGTTTCTGAATAATCTGCTGTGAACAAATTGTTAAATGGCCTCTAAGTTCATCAATACCTTCAGATTTGAGAAATTGCATTCAATAGTACTAATAGAACTTACAGGTAGTCCTTTTATGTTTGGTACTGATGGAGTAAGCCACACTCCTTAGAAAATAATATCTGAGTTGCAGCTACAGTGGGACAACAATTTATGTACACTTAGTTTGCCTTCAACTTTAGCATCTGTTCATCTCCTACCCCCAATACACGCTTCTCTACTTTGTTCAACCAAGTCAATCACAATACGGTAACTTATATTTAAGCTATTGAGGTTTAATAACAAAATAAAGGAGTAAATCCAGCAGTCAGATAGTAACATTTAGTATTTTATACTAACTCTTATTTACTTTAGATATTTGAGGGGTAAAATTTAAGTACAGGCTTATGTAGAATTTAAAAATAAAGATACTAAGTAAGGGTACCATATGTGATGGGCTATTTAAAGGGATTGTCAAGTTGACTTTATCTATTGATCTGCCTATCTATCTAGACTTTTTTTTTTTTCTTTAATGGTGCTAGGGACAGAAACCAGGGCCTTGCACATGCTAGGCAAGCACTCTACCACTGAACTCTGTCCCTAGCCCTTTATTTATGTTTGCTTGCCATCATTGTGGCGCAAATCTTGGAACCTAAGTTGTGCTTTGGACTTCCTCTTTGTATGTGCCACTTCATTCTTGTTCTTGTGCCCACCAGAAAACATCTCTCTTTGCTGTAAGTAGACATTTCATGGTTTTGTTT